TTGCACCCATTTAAAATGTGTTTGTACGGCTGCATTGTTCCTCCCTGTATTACTTTAATGCCAAGAGTAATTTACTCCCTATAGTATAATGAAAAAGTTTGATTTTTCATTATAGTACTCACAGCTCCTAAAACCTAGAGAGATTCATTCAAGTTTAATCATTTTCATAACCAAAGATACAGTGGCTAATGAGTAACAAAGCTGTTCGGTTGTGCCTTATAACTGACCTGCTTCAAAACAAGGATCCCGAAGCAGGCTTGCGCTCCCTGGAATTCTTCCGGGCTGGCCCCAAGTTTCAGTCTATGGTATGTTAAGACAAACACTAAAGAAAACTTGGGGAGGAGCCTGCACACTTGGCACGTGAACCTGTGATGACATATTTCCCTTGGACTGAGGGCAGTTTATCCAAATACCCTCGCGTTTTGTATCTGCGAGCTATTGTGTATGTCTATTGTTTCCCTGCAGTTTAATCTTTCTTAATTATAGACAGAAAATGTATGAGTGTAACTGCTTCGCCTTGTTGTGTCTATAGTAATTTAAAATTCATTTTTATGAAATGCTTTGGTTATAAAACCAAAAAACCAAAACAACCACCACAAGAACAACAACGATAACAATTTCCAGCTGCCGCAATTTTCATTTTTATGCATCTTCTCATTAAAAGAATTCAATGGCAAATGGGGAATATTTTGAATTACTGAAACGTGTAAAATTTGCAGATATTTGCGAAGACTAGTCTCACAGGCTTCTGAGAAAAGCACGAGATGAAAGAGGTGTAAAATACCAGACCTCCTCCTCTGCTCTTAGCAGCGGGGCTCAGACCCATGTAACAGTATGCCCAGGAGCAGAACCCATATAAAGGAAGGCAAAAAGTATTATTTGATGTACTGTGTGTGGCTGTGGCCGAGGTACAATCCCAGTACCTTTGAGGATAAGTACCACGGCTTCTAAAATGCTAAGCGTGCCGGATCCCAACTTTTTCTCGCACCTCTTACTGTAAGAGACAAAGCTTTTACCTTGTGAAGCTGCCACAGAAACAGGAGGCAGCTGCAGAGAAGAAAAACCGATGCTTCCATTCAGCAGCTGGCCATTTGTTCCTGAATTGGGGATCTGGACAATGCCATACTGGTTTATTTGGACAGGAGCAGTAAAAGTAACTACGGAGCCTCCATCTTGGGAAGCAGCAGTTTGTACGCTTTCCCTTTTCACCTCTGAGCTCGGTATCAATCCTGGGAAGGAGACCGGGATGTTGCTGGGGCTGAAGGTGGCTGCCGTGGCATTGGGGACAGAAGCCTGCACAAGCTTGAAGTCCTTAACATCTTCTGACGAAGACGACAGTATGTCAGTGATGGAAACCCCATTGCTCACAACGCTCGACGTGGTTTTGGGTGAATTTAAGGTAACCGTCTGCGAAGCCCCCACGCTGAGTCCATTGAGAATGACACCGTTGGGTCCCTGAAGAAAAGAGCTACCGTTGAGAAAGACGGGAGAGGTACTGGCAGGCACGAGGTTTCCGTTCAACAAGACGCCAGATGAGCTCAAGGCTATTTTAGTGTTTCCGAGCTGCTGCATGTAGACAGGCTCCATGTGGCTGGCAAGGCTGAGGCTGGTAACGCCATCGGATGAACTGGGGAGCGGGTGAGGAGATAAATCCTCCTGCCCCTTGCTGGATTCATCTTCTGTGCTGGGGTTGCCATCTGACTCGCTAGGGGAAGAGACGGAGAGATGACACTGCATTACCAGGGTGGGCCGGCGAGCCCCGCACCACAGGGGAACTCCTTGCTTCGATACAGTTTGCCAGAGTTTCCCCCGAGTTATTATTATTATTATTTTCTGTGATTTGCCTTTACAAGGCACTTCAAACCAATTTAAAGTCAAGGGGGAAGGTTTCTTAGAAAAGCACACATCAAACCTGAGGAGAAAACTTTACAGAGCGGGTGAGGCACGTGTAAATGTGCCTCCTCTCCCTGCTATCCGCCCCAGCCCGCCGGCGGGGGCTGCCTGAGGCCCCTCTCCGCCGGCCCAGGGCGCCCGCAGGCCGGAGCCGGGCCGCAGCCATTTGGCAGAGGGTTTGGGCGGCAGCCGCGGGAGGTGAGACCAAGCCGGGAAGCGCCGCCCGACCTTCCCCGGCCTGTGCCCGCCGCCCCCGGGACCCCCGCCAGCCCCGGGAAAGGCGGAGGAGGCGGGGGGGGGGCCTCCCCGGCGGGAGCCGGGCCCGCGCTGCCCCCAGGTGCCGGCGGAGGCCCCTCAGGCGGTGCGGGCTGCATGGAGGGGGGGAAGGGAATGGAATGGGGGGGAACGGCCTTTGTGCTGCGCCCCGCGGGGCCGCCGCCGCCGCCCCGGCCCGGCCGATCCCCTCCACGGGGCTTTTTTCGCTGGCTGGTCCGCCCTCCGCCGCCTTTCCCGGTCCCTCCCCCCTCGGCCGCTCGCCCTTTGATGTGTCCCGCGGGGAGGGGGCCGCGGCGGCACAATCGCGCCCTTGGTTGAGAAATGCCTTGGGGCCCCTCCGTCCCGGGTTTTTTTTTTTTCCCTCCCTTTTTTTTTTTCCTTCCCTCTTTTCCCTCCTTTCCTTCCCCGCTCTCTCTTTCTCTCCCCCTCCCTGCCCCGGGAAGGGGGCGGGAGCGGGGAGGTCACCTCCACCTGCCCGCTTCGCCCCCGCCGCGGCCCCCTCGGGGCGAAGGGGGCGGGAAGCGCAGTCAGAGCCGCGGGCCGGGCGCGGGCGGAGGCTCTCCCGCCCCGGCGGGGAGCGAAGGGCCGCGGGGATGGAGGCGGAGGCCTGCGGCGGGGCCGGCTCCGAGCCCCAGCCCCATCCCGGCGGTGCCGCCGCGGAGGAGGCCCCGTGGCCGCCGGCCCCGCTCCCCCTGCTGAAACCCGAGCCCGGCCCGCTCCCGAGTCAGGTTTCAAAACAAGAGCGAGCGGCGGGACCCCGCACCTCCCGCGGCCGCCGTCAATGATTAACTCTGTCAGGCGCGACAATTAAATAAAAACAAGGTGTCTGGGGAGAACAAACAACTTCCTTACCCCCCCCCTTTCCTTTCTTCCCCTCACCCCGCAGGCCCCCGTTCCGCGGGGTCCGCCGCGCCGCCCCGGGCCGGGGGGAAGGGGGCGGCGGGGCCCAGGAAAGTTTCCCCTGGCTGCCTCGCATGCCTGCGTGCCCGGGCCGGGTGTGTGTGTGTGTGTGTGTGTGGGGAAGGCGGGAGGGGGGGAAGGAGGGGAGGACGAGGCGCAGGGAAGGTAAGCGCCATGTTTGCAAGGGAAAGAAAAGAGCCGGGAAGAGGGAGGGAGGGAAGGAAGGAGGGAGAGAGGGAGGGGGAAGGCAGGCCCGGCGGGGAGAGGGGGGCGGGGAGGAAAAGTTGGCCCTCACCTTTTGGACTGGGTCTCGGAGGGGTTGCGGTCCCGCTGCCTGCGGTTCTTGAACCAGTTGCTGACCTGGGTGAGGGACAGCCCGGTGATCTTGGCCAGGTTGCGCTTGGCGGCCGGCGAGGGGTACCGGTTCTGCATGTAGAGCTCCTTCAGCGCGTTGCGGGACTTCTCCTTGAAGCAGTAGACCGTCTCCTCGCCGTCCCAGATGGTCCTGGGCAAAGGGTATTTCCTCCGCAGCCTGTACTTGTCCACCGCCCCCAGGGGTCTGCCCCGGGCTCGCTCCGCCTCGGTGTAGCGAGCCTTGTACCAGAGCTCCTGCAGGAGCGGGTGGTTGGAGGAGTCGAAGTTGTGGCTCTCCAGGATGCTGTAGAGCTCGGCGTAGATGCCCTGGTGGAAAGCCACCAGCGCCCGGGCTTTCATCAGGCTCTCGTTGCCACGTAGCAGATCGCTCGGGGGCAAAGACCACAGGAACCTGGCCAGGCGGTCCAGGTTCCCACCTTGCTGCAGCGCCTCGCACACGCAGGCGACGTGGTCCGGGGAGAAAGCCAGGGGGGTCTGCGAGGAGGAGGAGGAGGAGGAAGAAGAAGAAGAGGAGGAGGAGGGAGAGGAGGCAGCGTGGTGATTCCTGGCCAGGAGTTCCGTGTGGAGCAGTACCTGGTCGGCGGCTCCCTCCTCGGCGGCGGCGGCCGAGCCTGTGTGCTCCATGGGGTGCTCCATGGGGAAGGGGCCGGCGGCGGGAGGGGGCGGCGGCGCGGGGTTGAGGGCTCCCGCCGCCGGCCCGTCGTGGGGCACCTTGCTGGCTTCAGAGAGGATTTCCATCACATTTTCCTGCTTGATCTCCACCGAACTCGTGATCTCGTCCGTGGGGGAGGCAGAAGACATGGTTCGGTTTGTTTTCCTTTTTTTTTTTTTTTTTTTTTTTTTTTTCCCCCCGTCCCCTTCTTCTTCTTTTCCTCCTCCTCCTCCTCCTCCTCTCCCCCTTCCTATCTCTCTGGAAAGTCCACTCCTCCTCCTCCGGCTCTAGCCGATCAGGTTTCCTCCCGGCCACGCAATAACCATTAAAGATAGCTGCTATAGCAAAGTAGTGTAAACGGGCTCCTCTCCGCAGCTCCCCCCAACGTGACTCCTCGCCCCGCTCCAATACTATATGGCACCCCAGCCTGCTGGCCCGGCCGCGCCCTCCCATTGGCTGCGCCGCGCCGGGGGGGCGGGGGCTTCCGCGTCTCCAGGGCAACCGTCAATCAAGCGGCCCCGCTCCCCTCCCCACCTCCACCTGGAGCCTGGCGCCCCGTCGCAGGGACGCGTGTGTGTCCTCCCCCCTCATCCCCCCCCCCTCCGCGGGGGACCCCTCACCTGCCCCCCCTCTCCACGCCGCCGCCGAGCGCCTGTCCCCGGGCGGGGAGCGCAGAGTTAAAACTCTCAGGGTGCGGGGCGGTTGCAGCCGCGGTTCCCCGGGCTGAGGGACGGCACCTCCCCCGGGCCTGGAGCGGGGAAGCCCGCTGGGGAGCTGCGGCGGCCTCCTGTTAATTCGCCATCAGGCGGGAGCGGGCCCGTAACAACCGGATCTCTCGGGCGGGACGGTTTTCCCCCCCGACTCCATCCCCCTCCGGGCAAGTGCTGC